GGTGGGGCCGGGGTGGTCTAACAGTGAGTGGGTTAGTTGAGTAACATGTTCCTCCATGACAGAGTGGGAATTAGACGGGTGGATCTGTTACTTCTGAGTGGCCTAGTTACGAGTAACTGTCTGGGATGTTTATGGTACTGGGGGTACATCTGTTTACTGAGTGGGTAGGTTGAGTAACTGTTGGGAATGTAGGGGTGGGGGGGGGTGTGGTCTGTTACAGTGAGTGGGTTAGTTGAGTAACTGTTGGGATTAGAGGGGTGGGGGTCTGTTACTGAGTGGGTTAGTTAAGTAACTGTTGGGAATGTAGGGGTTGGGGGAGGGGGTGGTCTGTTACCGAGTGGGTAGGTTGAGTAACTGTTGAGACAAAAGTGGTCTATTACTGACCGCTTAGTTGGGTAACCTTTGGGGCGGCCTACCCATGTAGCATACAACCTAGTGCAGTGGAGTGAATCCTTTCCACTTTAACCCTTTACTCCTGTCGCGAACACGTACAAAAAAAAAATCACAGAACTACACCTGCACTCAGGGTCGTCCCACTACGACCAGTTAAAAGTCGCCCACTCTGAAATATATTTTCATACACGCCGCTGACAGTGGTTACTGGGTGCAGATGCGTTTCTGCGAATGCTGTATGTGGAATCACAACGGCTTGCTAGTCTGACAGTGGTTGTGCTGTTGTAGGCTTCCTGCAGATATGTAGTCGTCAAGTTGCATCGTAACGCTGGTGTTGTGAATTGGGACTTGGTAATATTGACAGTTTCTGACATAGTTTGAAGGTGGTTGCGTTGGAGTGATTAAACTATCCTAAAGATGTGTAGTCGCAGAGTTGTATAGTTGCGTTCGTGTGTGTATATTGGAACTTGTTCATACGGGCAGTGTGTTTCACGTTCGTTACTTCAAATGTTTGACTTTTTTCTGGAGACTACCGGCGAAGTTTTTCTTTTAGTGTAGTTTGTGTGGTTTACTGGCAGACGTTGGACAGCAGGGGTTAAAGATTTGTACAGAAAGTTTTAATATGTCTGATTTAAGGACAAAGTAAGTGAACAGTATATTCATTCTGTATGAAGTAGGTTAGTGTGTTATGATGAAGTAGGTTTCTGTGTTGTGATAAAGTAGGTTTCTCTGTTGTGATAAAGTAGGTTTCTCTGTTGTGATAAATGGATGATTGACCGTGGGGTTCTGTTTGCTTAGGGGTTATTGCCATCCCTCCCCCATCCCTCAGAAACAAAAGTGCCGGTATTCACCACATAGTATAATAAAAAGGTACCGGTACTCACTGTAGAGTATTTATTATATTAGCACTGAACATAAAATTATACCTACAGAGGTAGGGGTACTGCGTACCATTGGAAAAAGCCCTGGTTTATTGCACTGATACACTATCTCTTTCTTACCTTCTCTCTATCACTTTGTCTGTCATCTTGGTTCTTGTCCGCCCATCACATTTCCCTTACACTGTCTCTTTCTTACCTTCTCTCTACCACTTTGTCTGTTACCTTGGTTCTTGTCCGCCCATCACATTTCCCTCACACTGTCTCTTTCTTACCTTCTCTCTACCACTTTGTCTGTCACCTTGGTTCTTGTCCGCCCATCACATTTCCCTCACACTGTCTCTTTCTTACCTTCTCTCTACCACTTTGTCTGTCACCTTGGTTCTTGTCCGCCTATCACATTTCCCTCACACTGTCTCTTTCTTACCTTCTCTCTACCACTTTGTCTGTCATCTTGGTTCTTGTCCGCCTATCACATTTCCCTCACACTGTCTCTTTCTTACCTTCTCTCTACCACTTTGTCTGTCACCTTGGTTCTTGTCCGCCCATCACATTTCCCTCACACTGTCTCTTCTTCTTACTTCTCTCTACCACTTTGTCTGTCACCTTGGTTCTTGTCCGCCTATCACATTTCCCTCACACTGTCTCTTTCTTACCTTCTCTCTACCACTTTGTCTGTCATCTTGGTTCTTGTCCGCCTATCACATTTCCCTCACACTGTCTCTTTCTTACCTTCTCTCTACCACTTTGTCTGTCACCTTGGTTCTTGTCCGCCCATCACATTTCCCTCACACTGTCTCTTTCTTACCTTCTCTCTACCACTTTTTCTGTCACCTTGGTTCTTGTCCGCCTATCACATTTCCCTCACACTGTCTCTTTCTTACCTTCTCTCTACCACTTTGTCTGTCACCTTGGTTCTTGTCCGCCCATCACATTTCCCTCACACTGTCTCTTTCTTACCTTCTCTCTACCACTCTGTCTGTCTCCATCGTGTGTGTGTATGTGAGAGAGAGGTAGGTATCATGGACATTGTGTTTTACAGATGTGTGTGTGTGTGTGTGTCTGTGTCTGTATGTGCGTAAAGCATGTATGGCATGCAATATATATATATATATATATATATATATATATATATATATATATATTATATATAATATATATATATATATATATTTATATATATATATATAGAGAGAGAGAGAGAGAGAGAGACAGAGACAGATTGAGCGGTGGCATAAATATTGTGATATTTTGTCTTGAATGTGTTTTTATGTGTTTTCTATGAGTATGTGTGTGAGAGACACATAGAGAGAGATGTGTTTTGTGTGTGTCTGTGTGTGTTTTGTGTGTGTGTCTGTGTGTTTTGTGTGGGTGTGCATGTGTGTGTGTGTGTGTGAAAGAGAGAGATAGAGAAAGATGATATGGATATTGTTTTTGTGGTCTATGCATTTTGTGAGAGAGAGAGAGAGAGAGAGAGAGAGAGAGAGAGAGAGAGAGAGAGAGAGAGAGAGAGAGTGCAGTGGTATGGAGAATGTGTGTGTGTGTGTGTGTGTGGGGGGGGGGGGTTATGTGTTTTCTGTTTATATGTGTGTGGAAGGCAGAGAGAAAGAGGCAGAGAGAGAGAGAGAGTGTGAGATGTGTTTTTGTGTGTGAATATGTGTGTTCTGTGTGAGTATCTGCCCGTGCGTGAGAGAGAGATAGCATAGGTGTGTTTGTGTGAATGTGTGTTGTGTATGTAAGCATGAGAGAGAGAGAGAGAGAGAGAGAGAGAGAGAGAGAGAGAGAGAGAGAGAGAGAGCAGAGAGAGAAGTGGCTTGGATATTGTGTGTGTTTGAGGAAGAGATAGAGAGAGAGAGAGAGAGAGAGAGAGAAAAGAGAGAGAGATGTGACATGACTATCTGCTGGATCTTCTCATTCTTGCTGTCTATGAAGCCTCTAGAATAAATAGTATTGTAATATGATGGTAGATTATATATGTGCCCAGCTGAAGTACCTCATTGCAGTGAAAAAAAAAAAAAAAAAGCAAAATATACATACAATTAACATATGTGTGAGAAGTTGCTTTAAGCAAATCTGTCATCTGAATTCGCCCACATCCCCCCTGTCATGTCGTAGGTCTAATGTTCCCCCACCACCCCCCAAGTCATGTCGTAGGTCTAATGGGCCCCCACCTCTCCCCAGTCATGTCGTAGGTCTAATGGGCGTAGGTCTAATGGGTGTAGGTCTAATGGGCGGCTGCTTTTGTAGTAGGAGTACATTTGCCTGAGAGGCGTAGAACTAACAGCCTAAGTACAAATATGCCAGATCTGTGACATGGATGTGCATTCAAGAAACTGGGAAAAGACTATGTCCAGAGGTGTACGAACAACTTTCTCTGTGTTGAGGATTTTGTGTAACTGAAATCACAGATCCCTGAAGTTTGTCCATGAACCCCCATATTGGCCACACTGGTAGATACCTTTTCTTTCATGCCACCTGTCATTTTAGAGAAACAGTTATTTGTTTCAGTTTGGGTACTTTAAATTTGAATGTTAAATATGTTTACAACTTCAGCTATTGCTATTTTCCCGGTTTAAAGGTAACCTTGAAAAAATTAAATCCATATCTGTTTGGACTTTAGGGGGAAAAAAAAAAGACCTTGATTCCCAGGTTGACCCAGCTTAAAATGGGTAGCAGGTAATGTTCTGGGAAATAAAGGTGGCTGGCATAATGTTGACCCCACCACTCATCGGGTGTTGAATAGACTAACATTTTGAGTTTACTATCATATGTTTGATTTGCCACCGTCGTTAAAAGGGTCCTTTATTTTACTTATAAAATCTTGGAACTGAAATTTACAAATTAGGATCTTCTTGGAGACTGTACATTCTCTTCCTCTTCTTTATCTTCTTTGTTATATACTTTTATTAAGGTCGCTTTTGTTTATTTGTCTGGTTCAGTTTTTGCATTGAATTCTTTTCTTTCTTAAGAAAAACTTCTCGAATATTTGTATCAACAGTTTTCTGATCAGCTTTATGGTGGATGCCAGAGGAGGGGCCATGCGAGGATGTCGCCACCCTGGAGTTCGAATCATCATCCCTCCACGAAAATGCTGCATGCCGACACGAATCACCTGCCGTCTTGTCCGCAGAGAGAAACTCACCAAACCACCACCAATGTTGGAAGGAGAGGGTCTCGCTGCTAGGGTTCTGGAGATGGGCCCAGTTGGAACCAAATTTTTGGGGTACGTGGTGAGACGTATAGTTGAGTTAATGTAGAGTTGAAAAGACTGAGTAAATATCTTGCAAATGATCTTTGACTATCAAATGAATGATCTTTGATTGTCATGTGTCATCTTTAACTTTTATGTGATTTTTTTTTTAAACTGTCATGTGAATGATTCTTTGCTGTCATGTGAATGAATGATCTTTGACTGTCATTTGAATGAATAATCTTTGATTGTCCTGTTAATGATCTTCATTTGTCATGGGAATGATCTTTGATATTATGTAAATGATCTTAGTCACATCAGTTATCTTTGATTGTCATTTGAATGACATATAACTGTTATGTGAATGATCTTTGACTGTCACTTGAATGTCCTTTGACTTTCATTCTGAGTGAAATTTAATTGTCATGTGAATTAATACACCCCCCCCCCCCCCCACCCTTCCCCACCGTCATGTGAATGATCTTTGACTTTAATGTGAATTATCATTGATTGTATTTTATTCACTATCATCTCCACAGACCTGTACTGCTAGAGGTTCCCCACTTTGCCTCCCTGCGAGGCAGAGAGCGGGAAGTGGTCATCCTCCGCAGCGACAACGGAGAGAGCTGGTACGAGCACCCAACGCAGGCCACAGAAGATGCAGTCACAGAAGCACTGGGTGCCAGCATTGAAGGTGGGGTACATGGAAGCCAGGCCTCTGTGACCAGTCTATGGCGTGAGCACTCCCTGTTTGGCTTTTGATGTTTTGTAGCCTTTGAATAGCAAAATACCTCCTCATACCCATCACACTCAGAGCTTTCTAAACTGTTTATGTTGATGACATACTTTTTAGATAAACATAATTTTGCAACACAGTAATTTAGTATACCGGCAAGCTAAAGGTTACATTTTAACACTGTTTGCAAAGTATTCTGTTTAATGCTTTATGGGGGCACACCTTCACACTGCAGCTAAGGCATTATTGTGTAATGACACGCAGTTTGTAAAGTTTGGAAACTAATAGGAGGTTTACCTATATTAAAACAATTGATGTGAAAAGGATTCTTATTAACAGGGTAATTGGCACATTGTGTTATGGTTTACAGCTAGGCTGCGATATATGTGCTTTTCAGCCCAAAACATCTAGTTTCAGTGAGGTTTTAGGACATGCTTATTAGGGGATAAGCAGTCTGTTCCTCCCCCCCCCCCCCTTTTTCCCCCCTCCTTTCCCCCAGGCCCAGGAATCCACACAGGGTAAAGTCAGAAAGATTGACCTTTCTTGCAGTGAATTTTACCCCACATGGCTTGGTCTCTCTTCACACAGAGGCTAGTAACCTGCTGAGAGTGTCACATAATGCACAGACTCTGTAGCCCCAGGGACAGTGCCCACAGGCCTGTGTAAAGATTCCACTAGTGAACTGAACAATACCATCCATGAAATAACTTCAGGATGCGGGGCAGGTGGCAATAACAGCTTAGTGGTCTCATAGGGGGTCTGAGTGATCTTGAGGTATGGTGTCCGCCTTGAGTGCTGGATGTCCCGGGTTCAAGCCCCGGTGAAGGCCATAATTTTTTTTACGTGGACTTCTAGTAATTTCGCCTGGTCTCTGGGTAGTAAGATCGGACGCCCATGTGTATTGTTGCGCACGTTAAAAATTCCTTTGGCAGTTGGTAATTGAAAAGAGTAGCCTAACGGTGCTGCCTGCGCAAAATTTGAGTTAAAAATCTACCCAAAGTATTTCAGGATCCTCGCCGGTGCAACAGAGTTAGTGCACTGTGTTGAGATTCTTCAGATACAGGTTTGAGTAAGAAGTAGAACGGAACACTTATGGGTTACACCTGTGTGCCATGATGTTGATCCGTTGAATAAACATAAGCAGCTGAATAAAAATAAACATCTTAGCCACACAGACTCCAGTTTACCTGTAGTAGTTGATATTAAACTCTAGACGATCAGAGGTCACTATTTGGAGTTAAGTGAGGCCACAACTTATGACTGGCAACTCTGTGCCGTGAACCTCATTTCATAATGCAGTCCTTAGTTTTAACCAAGGTTTGATTGCAACCTTGGGCAGTTTTGAAAATGAATGTTTTCAGACAGTGGCACCAAAGTCTTACCATAGAAGAGATTGGGACCTCAGCACATAATATTCCCATAGTTGTTCATAGATACATTGCAGCCAGTCACATTATAAAGACTACACAATGTTTTTTCTGACCAAAAATACTAGACAAATAATAACAGTGCATACAAAAATTACAAGTGTATTCCTAATATTATCTGGTACTAATTTAATGACATTTATTAATTAGAGACAAAGGAGAATAGCAGAACAAAAGTTGGATGACAGAATTATAAATGTAAGCTTAGGGAAAGAACTAGTTTTCAGTGAATCAGAACATGACAATTACACATATAACCAATGCCCTTGCAAGCATAGCTCCACTTTTGCTGATACATGTTGTTCGACAGTCAAAGACACACATCACATTTGTGTTTTCACAACAGTGGTAGTCACACACACATATATATAAATAAAACTGGTTTTCAGTTTATATTAAACATTTTTTTTTATTTCGCTTGCGTATAGAAGCTTATCAGCCAACCTGTACTTTTAGAAAACCCCAAAACAGTGCAAAAAGAATGTTCTCTGAACGTCAACTCTTGTAAAAATAATTTTAGACATGCACTAACAGTATATTGCGACGTCCATGGCTCAGGCATTGCAAGTGTGACTCGTAATTCCAACATACCACGATTGAAACCCACTGTTGGCTGCGTGGATTTTCATCATGGTATGGGGCGTTGCAGGTCGACCCAGCCTAGATTGGGTACCAGGATGAATGTCCTGGGGAAGTAAAGACGGCCGGCGTAATGCTGACCACATTACCCACCGAGTGCCGATTGGTTTGTAAAAATATGGATGCTCATCCCATGTGCCCGATGCGCCTAAAGGCGTGAAAAGGGATCTTTACTTTCTTTACTTACTAACAGTATATGTTTGTGGTTAAAAGTAGTAGGCATTTTCAGGATGTAGGAAACTCAAAGTTTGTCTTCTTGGAGGTATTTGTTGTTTAACTGTGATGTATTTGTGGCACCAGTTTTTGTGTGTCTGCACTTTAATTATAAAGCAGCAAGTTTTTGCCACAGTTTGTGAACTTCCACTCTTTAAGCCCCACCTGAAGTTTCTAGCTAATATTTCAGGGAGTTAGAAAGGCAGGCAGTATTAAACTTTTGGGTTTACTACTTCCAGAGGGGCCAAACGGACAACCCTCTTGCAGGAAACAAATGTTTTCAGAGTTCTTTAGAGTCGCTTACTAAACATCAGATGTAAAAACAGACATAACATGATGACTGATATCATCATAGATAGTATGTTCTTTGGGACAGAGTTACATCCTGAACTTGAACCTGTTTATTGCAAGACTTTGTAATACCAGTTTGACTACTGCTGCTTTCTTTTCTTTTAAATCTGTCAGAATTAGAACTGGGAACCGGAATGCAAAATGTAGACACAACTTAACGGCAGTGGATTTTTCTCCTCTTTCCCCATGTTCTCCTTCTTTTTCTCCACTCCTCCACATCTTATTCTTTGCCATCATCATCATTGTCATCATCATCATCCTCTTCTTCTTTATCATATTCATCATCATCATCATCATCATCCTCTTCTTCTTTCATAATCATAATCATCATCATCATCCTAATCTTCACCACAGTCATCATCTTCTTCTTCTTTATCATAATCATAATCATCTTTACCACAGTCATCATCGTTACCAACTTCATCACCTCTACCACCACAGTCATCATCTCCTTCATCATCATCATCATCATCATCATCATATTCTTCACCATCCTAGTCTATGTCTTTAACCCCCCCCCCCCCCCCCCCCAATCATCCCTTTATGCTGCTGCTATTCCTCTTCTTCCTTTTACGTCTGCTGCACCTCCTCCATGATCACAATTTCCTGTGCATTGATCATGAACATGGCTCTGTACCAGATGTCTTTTCTCCCATGGCTCCATCTTAGTTTGTCCTCTATAGAGTTTTTCTTGTTGGTCAGTTTACATTCTTTGGCTAAGTCTGGACACCTCTGGAGGATATACCCTGGAATTCTGATTTGTTTTACTTTAAACAATTCCAAGGCACTTGTTTTTTCAGTTGTTACCTGTTTGTACTACTTTATTACCATTGTGTTGCATATAAACTTGATCATTATCGATCAGCAAGTCCGTTTTAGAACATTGCTCTCTTCATGGCACACCTGAAAGTCTCTCTTTCTAGCCAATTCTCCGGTCGTATGTGCTTTTATAGCCAGTATGTCTTTATTGTCCAGTATCCAGGTTCACAGAGGCCGGCCGGCCTCTGCCTTATTTTAGAGAAACTGCCCCCCTCCATCACTGTCTTCTCTAGACCACCATAGTGCTTGACGTGTGCAAAATACCCCAGCTTGTGGCAGAGGATGCTGTTTATGAGCCAGTTCTGAAACGTCCCTGTTAAAAAGCCACTTAAAAGTTGTTTTTTTTTTTAAACAGAGTAAGATAGATGTCATTTCATTTACTGGTGCTTTAACTCACCCACCCTCTCACATACAAACAAATTAAAAACAACAAAACAACACTAACAAATGTAATAAAATATGGCTAAACACTGAGGCTGATTTAAAAAAAAAGTTAGAAAATTTAAATTTTAAATTGTATTTATTTATTTAGTTATTAACTCTGAGAATTTGTTGAGTTGCTGAGTTGACTGTATTTTAGTAGTATATCTGTTACATTGAAAGTTCCATGATCCACAAAACTGTTACATTGAAAGTTCCATGATCTGTAGAACTGTTACATAAAAAGTTCTAAGATGTTTGGAACTGTTATATTGAAAGATCTTGGATCTGAAGAATTGTTACATTGAAAGATCTAGGATCTGTTACAATCACAGGCCTAGAATCTGCACAGCTGTTATATTAAAAGGTTCATAATCTTTAGAAATGTTACACAGACATATCCAAGATCTAAAAAAGATCTACTTTTTCTGTAGAACTGATTACATTCAAAGCTTTATGATTTGTAGAAATCTTTCACTTATAGTCCACAAGGATAGAAGATGTAGTTGTGACATTAATTCAGACTATGACATAAACAGTATAAATAACATTGTAGCATCTGAGATAATGCAGTTAAAATATTGCAGTCAAGAAATATGTGTCAGATAAGCATTTGTAGCATTCGCGGATGAGTTTATTTACCTATTTCTGAACATTCTGGTCATATTATGCACTCATTACAGTGTTGTTTTATTGTATGTGATTTCTTTCTTTCTTGTCCGCCCAATAATTATTAACCTTAAGCCCTAAAAAGCCTAAATCTAGTAAGTTGCGGTTGTGACACAGTCTCCGTAAATGCTAGTTGATCTACATTTCTGCAGCGACCTTTTCTAGGAAAGCGCAGTTAAATGCCATTGGTTCTGTTTGTGCCTACACAGCATTTCCAAGGGTTTTTCTCATGAATCAGTTGTTTAAAACTATCATGCCCTCAGAATTTCGAGAAGCCAGAATGATAGAGGTGATATGTGTGTGCATGCGTGTGTGTATGTACATATGTTTGTGTGAGCATATGCATTAGTGTGTCGATGTGTATGTGTAGACCCTGGGGGTGTATTCCATCTTCACCCTGCTCAGGTTTATTTATTACTCCCTTGATTTATCTTTACATATATTTTGAGGAAAAGATAATTGTTTACATGTAAAAAAAAAAAAAAAAATTATTAGTGACCTGTCTAAAATGGGTGGTGTTTTTAAAGAATTTGTTTTCAGGAATTCCCCATGACCCCATTTATTAGGCGTTCTGGGGTAGAAGGGTCAAGTCATTTTTGTCACATTGAATTTAAAAAAATTAATTTTTCTTGTTGCTTATATTGTGTGCCACCCATGTATTCTTACCCATGTTGTCTAGTAATTATGGAAAATTTGACAACTAGTATGAAGGTTTCCTTCCCACCTTCCCACCTTCCCTCCTTCCTTCCTTCCTTCCTTCCTTCCTTCCTTCCTTCCTTCCTTCCTTCCTTCCTTCCTTCCTTCCTTCCTTCCTTCCTTCCTTCCTTCCTTCCTTCCTTCCTTCCTTCCTTCCTTCCTTCCTTCCTTCCTTCCTTCCTTCCTTCCCTTCCTTCCTTCCTTCCTTCCTTCCTTCCTTCCTTCCTTCCTTCCTTCCTTCCTTCCTTCCTTCCTTCCTTCCTTCCTTCCTTCCTTCCTTCCTTCCTTCCTTCCTTCCTTCCTTCCTTCCTTCCTTCCTTCCTTCCTTCCTTCCTTCCTTCCTTCCTTCCTTCCTTCCTTCCTTCCTTCCTTCCTTCCTTCCTTCCTTCCTTCCTTCCTTCCTTCCTTCCTTCCTTCCTTCCTTCCTTCCTTCCTTCCTTCCTTCCTTCCCTCCTCCCTCCCTCCCTCCCCTCCTCCCTCCCTCTCTCCCTCTCTCTTTCTTTCTCTCTCCTTCTCTCTCTTCTCTTTCTTTTTTTCTTTCTTTCTTTCTTTCTTTCTTTCTTTCTTTCTTTCTTTCTTTCTTTCTTTCTTTTTTCTTTCTTTCTTTTCTTTCTTTCTTTCTTTCTTTCTTTCTTTCTTTTCTTTCTTTCTTTCTTTCTTTCTTTCTTTCTTTCTTTCTTTCTTTCTTTCTTTCTTTCTTTCTTTCTTTCTTTCTTTCTTTCTTTCTTTCTTTCTTTACTTCTTTCTTTCTTTCTTTCTTTCTTTCTTTCTTTCTTTCTTTCTTTCTTTCTTTCTGTTAACTTTAAAAAAATTAATAGTCAGATGTTTCATATCATATATCTTGGTGTCATTTTTTTTGTTTTTAAAAACTGGAAGTTACTAATACCACAATTTATTTTTACTGATAAAGAGTTTAACCTTATTTCTCGATGGATAAGAAATACCTAACAATTACGGTCCTATTGCTAATTTACTGCCAAACTTCTTATTAAATTAGAAATAGTTGAACTTTTAACTGATAAGAAAAATACCTTCATAGGAAATAGCTTCCAATTGCACTTACTATTTTTTCATCACATTTTGTACATTGGCTAGGAGTCTAGATATTTTTACATTGGTTGGAAGTCTAGTTATATTTACATTGGTTGGAAGTCTGGTTATGTTTACATTGGTTAGGAGTTTAGATATACTTACATTGGTTTTGAGTCTGGATGTACTTATATTTGTTGGGAGTCTAGTTATCTATACATTGGTTGGAAGTCTGGTTATATTTACATTGGTTGGGAGTCTAGATATACTTACATTGGTTGGAAGTCTGGTTATATTTACATTGGTTGGGAGTCTGGTTATATTTACATTGGTTGGGAGTCTAGATATACTTACATTGGTTGGAAGTCTGGTTATATTTACATTGGTTGGGAGTCTAGATATACTTACATTGGTTGGAAGTCTGGTTATATTTACATTGGTTGGGAGTCTGGTTATATTTACATTGGTTGGGAGTCTGGTTATATTTACATTGGTTGGGAGTCTGGTTATACTTACATTGGTTGGGAGTCTGGTTATATTTACATTGGTTGGAAGTCTAGTTATATTTACATTGGTTGGGAGTCTGGTTATATTTACATTGGTTGGGAGTCTGATTATATTTACATTGGTTGGGAGTCTGGTTATATTTACATTGGTTGGGAGTCTGGTTATATTTACATTGGTTGGGAGTCTAGTTATACTTACATTTGTTGGGAGTCTAGTAATACTTACATTGGTTGGGAGTCTAGATATACTCACATTGGTTGGGAGTCTAGATATACTTACATTGGTTGGGAGTCTAGTTATACTTACATTGGTTGGGAGTCTAGATATACTTACATTTGTTGGGAGTCTAGATATACTCACATTGGTTGGGAGTCTAGATATACTCACATTGGTTGGGAGTCTAGATATACTTACATTGGTTGGGAGTCTAGATATACTCACATTTGTTGGGAGTCTAGTTATATTTACATTGGTTGGGAGTCTAGATATATTTACATTGGTTGGGAGTCTAGATATACTTACATTTGTTGGGAGTCTAGTTATATTTACACAGGTTGGGAGTCTAGATATACTTACATAGGTTGGGAGTCTAGATATATTTACATAGGTTGGGAGTCTAGATATACTTACATTGGTTGGGAGTCTAGATATACTTACATAGGTTGGGAGTCTAGATATACTTACATTGGTTGGGAGTCTAGATATATTTACATAGGTTGGGAGTCTAGATATATTTACATAGGTTGGGAGTCTAGATATACTTACATTGGTTGGGAGTCTAGATATATTTACATTGGTTGGAAGTCTAGTTATCTATACATTGGTTAGAAGTCTAGTTATGTATTTTATAGATTGGTTAGGAGTTATACAAGATTTTATACAAAACTAATATTCTGTCATGATTGGATATTCATAGCAGTTTTTGACAAATCTGGATACTCACTTTAAAGTTAGTGTATCAGTAATGAGACGCTCACCCTGTCTGGAGGTACTGAGTTCAAATCAGCACAGGATGATTTGAACCCCCCCCCCCCCCCCCCCCCCCTCCAAAAAAAAAAAAAAACTTTGGCTCCTGGTTAACCCAGCCTAAAATGGGTGTCAGTAACTGCTTAAAAAGCGAAGGTGGCCAGTATATTGTTGTCCACATTACCCATCAAGTGTTAATTGGTTGGTTTAGCACCATAAGCTTGATCTGCTACTGGTGCAAAAAAGGGCCCCTTCCAAATCACTAACAGGAAGGTAGAAATGAATGTGAACACCATCATTATGTAGCAGGTCCTTTGCAAAACATCGCTCTGATCATGGACTGCCCGAAAGAAGCTCGGTCTCTCGCCAACTCTCCCGCCTCCTGTACTTTCATTTTCAAGGAGTCACTTATATCCTGTGCCCATCTTCGTGTCGGTCGGTCCCTGCCCCTCCTTCCTGGTACCATGCCTTCTGCTGTTATTTTTTCTAGTCCGCCATGGCACCTGATAGGACCAAAATAATTTAAACACTCCACTTAGTAAATTCTGTTCCTCCCTACTTTTTGTTTTTGTTTTTTTGGGTGTAAACTCCAGTTTCTACATTTCCAACCCCTTTCCTACACTCCAGCCATAAATACTCATGATGCTTTATGAATTCATGCCTCTTGGAAGGAGGGAGGGGGAGACCAACTGTCTGCACACAAATAGGCCAGATCTGTGAAATGGATGTGCATGCAACACCCAAGTCCTGGATTAAAAGTCCAGAAGTTGATTGATAAACATCCAAGACTTTTAGCTGGAGTTTAGTGAGGAAGTGCAAAAAAAAAAAAAAAAAAAAAAAAAAAAAAAAAAAAAAAAAAAAAAAAAAAAAAAAAAAAAATAGCATTTTCTGTCGCTATTCAGTTCGGACAAAAACTGTTATTGTTAAAATAGTTCTTTGAGTCTGTCTTCTTTGTTTCTGAAGACTGTCTTGTATCCTCTACACCACAGAGCTGGACAATGAGGAAGACCTCTCCAAAAAGCGGATCAAGCGTATCCTGACAACAGACCTGCCGCAGTACTTTGCTCTGGTGACCCGTGTGACCCGAGTCAAGCAAGAGAGCACTGTGATTGGCATGGAAGGAGGGGTCCTGAGTTCGAATGTGGTGCCACAAGTGCAGGCAGTGCTGCCGGAAGGCACACTCACAAGGCCTATTCCTGTTGGACTTCAGGTAAGAAAGAAGATAGCCTTATGAGAAAACATGTGGTATGCTGTGTTAAATTGATCTGCTTCAGTTTTCTACCCCATTTGTCTCAGCTCCAGTGATCTATTTTTATTTTTATTAAAAAAAAATTTTTTTTTTTTACATTTTGGTGTTCAGTTTATATCTGACATTTATAACTTATCTCTGATCAACATATTCTATTTATCTATAAAAATAAAAAATTAAAATTAAAATTAAAAATCTGTTTTCTATTTTTAATTCAAATTTCTGTGCCTGTTTTTTTCCTTTTCTTCTTTCAGAATCTCAGAAAGATAAATCAGTAATTCATGTGTCTCTGATCCACATGTTTTTTAAATATTTGTCAAAGACTTATAAATCTATAAAACATTTGTCTCTACTCTATTTATCTTCAACCTCTTTATCTGGAATCTATTTATGTCTGATCAATATTGTTCTATTATATTTATCAAAAACTTACACGTCTTTAACCCATTTGTCTCTGCTCTATTTATCTTTAACCTCTTAATCTATAATCTTTTTATATCTGATCAACATTATTCTATTATATTTATCAAAAACTGACACGTCTTTAACCCGTTTGTCTCTGCTCTATTTATCTTTAACCTCTTAATCTGTAATCTATTTTTTATCTGATCAACATTGTTCTAATATGTTTATCAAAAACTCATAAATCTATAAAACGTTTGTCTCTGCTCTATTTATCTTTAACCTAATTATCTGTAATCTTTTTGTATTTGATCAACGTTGTTCTATTATATTCATAAAAAACTTATAGATCTGTAAAACGTTTGTCTATGCTCTATTTATCTTCCACTTCTTTATCTGTAATCCATTTTCCTGTGTCCTACATGTTTCTATCATATTTAGCTCTGACCTATATTTTTAAAACTATTTTAATCTGTTCTTTATGTCCCTATTCTTCTTATTTCCTATTTTAAACTTAGTTATCTATGACCCATTTGTTTCACGTAAATTTGGATATCCTACTAGCATATTTTTCCATGCGAAAGACAATATGTTTCCCAAATTTTTGAAGTTTAAAATCTTCTTCTTCTTTGCATTTGCCGGTTGTAAACTCCTGTGGAAAGCTCTTGTTGTTTGTCCACTTCTGGACTGCAGTACTATTTCAGAACCTGATTGTTACGTGTGCATCCGTTTGACAGATCTGACTCATTTGTGTGCAGACTGTAGGTTCCTTGCCTCTCAGGCAGATGCACTCCGACTACTAAGGAAGCCCCCAGTTAGTCGATTTACGACATGCTTTTGGGTAGGCAGGGGTCTCTTCTTGTTTTCCCTATAATAGGGTCCTAGAACCCACACAGGGAGTTTCAAATCTTATACACAGAATGTGATTAAAATATTGTTTTCTTAGTTTTAGGCTTAAATAATAAGGGTCATCTTATACTTGGTGGGCTTCTTTAACATAGAAAAATACGGTAATTCTCTGCAACACCCATGCTGCTTCTGCATGTATCACTGTCTGTGTTTATTAGGCACAGCCGATTGCTCCGGAGCTGGTTGCTAAACTACTGGGTAACCGTGTAGCAGTGAGTCCTATTGTCACAATAGAGCCCAGACGACGCAAGTTCCACAAGCCTATCACACTGACCATCCCCGTTCCCCGCGCTGCCCAGAAGGGAATGATCAACCAGTATGGTGGCGACCGACCAACCTTGCGTCTGCTCTTCAGCCTTGCAGGTAGGCGGTCAGTCTCATCAGCCATGTCATTCTGAACTTGCTTTGATCATCATCAACACCGTTAAATTCTCTATTATAAACATCATGATCATTATCGTCATAGTCACCACCACCAATCACCACTACTATCATTATTGTTAAAGTCACCAAGAGTGCTTGAGCAGCATCATTATCATCATCATCATCATAAACCACTTCTGCCATTAAGCGTCGTGGTATGAAGGCCTAGAGTGTCTTTAATGTTGTCGATCCATCATCAACACCAAAATTATTACATCTTTTTTCTTGAAAAAAAAAAAAAAAATTACCAGTACTCCAGAGTCTAAAAAGCTACCAGCATTCACCACAAAAGTGTCTCTCTCTCACGGTAGAACTGACAAAAATGACACCTAAAAACAAAAAAGGTACCGATACTGTGTACCATTGCATACCACCAGAAGAAAGCTCTGTTTTTTATTATCACAATCAGCATAACAGACAGTACATCAAGATCGTTATTAACTTCATCATTGCCACTACCTTCATCCTTTTTGTCAGCAAAAAAAAAACTAAAAGCATAGTTACTGTTTCACTCCATCTGTTATACATACCATGAACTAAAGCTGCTATTTCACCTAGTAGTTTTTAACAAGATAGACACTATTTTCTGATTGTTTTAACATTTTGTTTGGTCAGTATGTTTGAATAATATGGGCACTAATTTACAGAACATTGTTTATACACATCAGCACTTATTACACATTGTTAAAATAACATTGTTTGCATACATTGAGGGTAAACTTACTATCACTGTACTAGATATTCTCATAAATGTCAACAAAACTTACCCTGACCCCATTACCTAACATCCTCACACTCCTTTGCTTGACATCCTGTGCTGCATCTAGGTAACTCCCATGGCCGAGGTAAAGATGTAGTTCAGTGAATCACTGTTTTTTTTTCTTTGCAACTCTGTATCCTGTTTTTTGTTTATGTGTGTGTGTGTGTCTTCACTGGCAGACACTGTTCATCCCAGCAGATGGACATTAGAGATATACCTGCACAACTTGCATGTTCACCATTGTTTGCATCCTCACTGTGTAGCTGCTGGAATAAGGCTCACTTTCTTGCACACAATCCTAAATTATCCTAACAATTAACAAGGGAGCATGCATAAAGTACACTTGGGTGCTTTATTAATATCCCGCCCCAAAGAAGGGAAACCACAGGTCATGGGACAGTCTAAAATTTTAGGGGGTGATAGATAGCTGCATACAGTTGTGGGACCTAGGCTGCACTCTCTCCTGAGACGTAGATTGGTTGGGGTTAGTGCCAGTTCTAGATGTTTTGGGGTCGTTAAAATCATCAGAAACCCGGGAAACCCAGTCTTACCACCCTCTAAAATGTTGGACTGTCCTGTGACGTCATCTGGGGTAGGATATAAATAAAGAACCTACACTTAAAATGTACAAAGAACAAACATGATTTTACTATTTAAATACAAATTTGTGCCATCTTCACTTGGAGGTTGGCTGTAGTGCATTGACTGGTATCTTTGGGAGTGTTAACATGGTAAGGCATCAATCTCTCATGGTGCAACTCTCATATTACTGTCTGAAAGCCATTAGAACAATGTTTTTATTGAAGAAGATCAATACGGGCATCACCTTATCACTTAAAGCCATCAGGAAAAGCCTGATGAGATTTGTGAGTTTTATCTGTCAAAGAGATGAAATCAATATATAAATGGTGTATCTTTTTTTTTTTTTTAATCGATCACCGGCTGTGAATTCCAGTGGAAGGTCCCGGTTAATCGTCCGCTTGGACTTTTGGCCTTCACCTGGACCTGATTTTTGCGTGTACAACCGTTTTTCATTTCCCTGCCTCATGGGCAGCTGTACTCCGACTTCGAAGGAAGGCGTCAGGCCTATTTCTAGGGTGACTGTGGCCATTGTTTTGTGTGGGTCGAGACGTTGCCTGATTTGTGTGGTGTCCACTTTGTCTCCTTCTCCGCAGGTATTGCCCCCGGAGTACCCCTTTTGGGGCAGCCCCCTGTGGAACAGTTAGCCCTCAAGGGAAGGCAGGGGCAGATCATAGGCAATCTCCGCCATCCAAGGAGGCTTCCATGCATGCAGAGCCGGCACATGGCGCTCTGGTTCTGGGCTCACCCAAGGAATCGTCACGTCCTGCACATGCCTGCTTAACCTCACAACCGTATCAGGCCTCCCGCTCGACAGGGGCTGCGCCCTAAATGGTGTATCTGAAACCTGTAAAAAGATTAACAATTGCATCCATCACCTGAGCCACCCGAGAAACAAAAGACCAATATAGAAAACCAAGACACTGGGCTACAACCAGCTATCAGTGAGATGACAAAGGAAGAAGAAGAAGAAGAAGAAGGAGGAGGAGGAGGAGGAGGAGGAGGAGGAGGAGGAGGAGGAGGAGGAGGAGGAGGAGGAGGAGGAGATAGAAAAAGGAAGAAGAAGAACTAAGATAGGGACTTGAAGAAATATAAGTCCAAAACACCAAGAAGCTAGAACTGTGGAGAAGATAAAAATCTACACCATCTGGTAAGGTACATGGTGATGATTATTATTTGTTCAGACAGCTTTATAGAAGTCTTTGTTGACATGACATAGTATCTCTGTGTGGGGTTTTGTTTTGTGCCATTGCCAGATTGTGCATGTTTTTGTTAGAATTGACACATTGTAACTAACTTTTGTAGTGATTTAGACTGGCACACTATCTTAGCATGCTTAATTGTGAATTATTGAACTCCCCATACATGATCTGGGTCCTCTGTTAGGGGTTTAGGGATGGAGGGAGGGAGAATAGACACACTGGCCTCTGATAAGGTTACAAAATAGAGGTTTCCTGAAATCAGATGTTTTGAACTGAAAGGCAGAGATATAACAGCCTAGTTTTAAACCCCAGTCCAATGTGCTAGACGCTCGCCGCGGATCGGAAGTCGTGGGTTCGCTCCCTGGCAGAGCCGGTCTATTTTCAAAAATGACCTTGGCTCCCAGGTCGACCCAGCCTTTAGTGGGTACCGGGTGCAGTCCCGGGAAAAGTAAAGGCGGCCGGGGTGATGCTGACCACATCACCCATCTTGTGCTGATTGGTCTATAAAAATATGGATCTAGCCCTATACGCCTAAAGGCGTGGAAAAAGGTCCTTTATTTTTTTTTTTTAACTTACAATGTGCCAACTGCCCTTGTAAGGATAATCACATAAGAAAAAGTGCAAACACTGTCCACTTTACTTTTCTAGAAATGGTTCCCTGTAGTGGAATTATTCATGTTGTTGTGGTGGGCCTGGAGAGAAGGGTGATGGGAGGCACAGTTTCTGGAAAGAGGCAGACCTCTTCAGACACTGAAAATGCATTGGCTATTTTGAAAGCACACAGGGCTGGAGAATCGGCTAGAGAAAGAGGGACTTTCAGGTATGCCTTGACGAGAGCAATGTTGTATAAAGGATCACCAGAGATTTTTATGGGAACTCCACATGTGGGTTCTGAGGCCCAGTTTCGCAGGAATCAAGAATAAACCCACTGCTGTCCCAACAAGCACGTCATAAAAAGTGACTAACTAGGGGTGTTTCCTTTTGACATTATAGTGCATCTGTCTGAGAATGATTGTAGACCACGGAGGCAGACCAAGAAGACGATGGAGAAATAATATCCAGACAGACCTGCAAACACTTGGTGTCACCAACTGGAAAGAGAAGGCCTACCAGAGAGATGAATGGAGGCGGGTGATATCTGCAGCAATCTGAAGAAGATACAGACCTCAAGTCCTGGATCAAGACCCCAAAGTCCAGAAGTGGATGTAGAGCCAGAACTCTTCATGGGGGTTTACAGGCCAAATGGCCTTTCCATGTTGAAAAAAATGGTTCTCTGTACCCTCAGTCATAGGGGTCATAGGGTCACAACATTTTAGACCGCCAGGGAAGTGTACTCCAGTTAAGCTTCACTCTGTTCATTTTTATTGATTAACCCCTTTACATATCTTTAAATATTTCCAAAACAATATTCAGATATAGAGATAAATAAATTAAAAAGTAAAAACAACAGTAATATTGACCTATGTAAACTGGTAAGTCAGTACATTCAAATATCTGGGAACAGTCACATCATCAGATGGAAAATGGAAAAGCAGAAAAGCAGAAAAGGTCAAGCATGTCAGAAACTGAAAAATATCTTATGCACTATGTCACTCTTAATTAATGTCAGAAAGAGAGTGCTTAAATGTTACATAGAACCTGTTTTGCTATGTTGCGTGAATTTTGGAATGTCAGTAAGCAAATTAAGAAGAATTTGGAAGCAACAGATATGCGGTTTCTGAGAATAATGTTACGAATACCTTGGACGGCCAGAGTAACTAACAACGATCATTTGAAAGAAGCTAATGAAATTAGATCTCTATAAACAACAATAAGGAGATAAACACTGTACTTTGGCCACATAATGGAGAAGAGAGGCATTGGAAAACATTGTGACAACTGGAAAGATCAGTGGAAAGAGGTGTAGAGGCAGACCAAGTGAGATGAGCTGGATGGACTGAAATGATGGCATGAAGGGATATCATCAAGAGAAGCAGGGATCGTGATCTGTGGAGATGCATGAGCGTCTATGCCAGTTGGCAGGGCACATGATTATGATGAAACTGGTTGTTTTTTTAATGTTTTTTTTTCTGGGGATTTTCACAGTTCATAACCTACTATTCAGTGTTTCTGGATGACAGGGTTAATATGGTTCACTTGTTTGCACTTTGTATATTTATTCATGAATATATTATGTAAGTTATACATTTATATTTGATAATCTTACAAATATGTAGACAAAATCAGCAGATGGGTTGTAAGAGAACGTATATTTGTGTGTGTCTAACAAGAATACATGATACTGTGTTTGGGAATTCATTACACCCTACCTACCGTACATTGCTACATATTTAAAGCAGACACAGTTAGGAAGCTGGAGGTATTAAATTTGTGAACTTTGACAGATGTTACTTGTCTGTCTTATAATTCAAAGTTAAGAGGAAAAAAAAAAATGAATTTTTTTGTCTGTTGTGGTTTTTCTAGGCAAATTTTACATTCATTAGTTTGCCATTGCTTACTGAACGGTCAGCTCTCTGTACCTCTGGAAACCAACGCAAGACAAACTGTCCACAGCTGGAATCGAACCATACCTAGGCATTACAAAGCACGTTCACAACGCCTAAGAGACAGACGCCAACATATATATTTATATAAGGATAATTATAAAGTTAGGACACAATAGAATAAATAAAATGATTAAACAGAAGAAGATACCAACCATGTGTTAGTAGTCATCAGTCTTGGTTCCACATTGCTGCAGATTGCTGCCTCTTAACTGCTCCTATCCTGTGCTAGTGAAAATTGCAATTTCCTTCATTGTCCAGTTTTAAACCTGGTGAAAAACTTGTCAGTCCCAGCAAATTCTTAAAGCTTACGAAATCGAAATTCATAAGGCAGCTGTCAGATATGCCAAAACTAATCACCAGATTTGCAGCTCACACCAACAATATATTTTTGTTTAGTTATTTCTCATTTGCGGTGATGATTACAGGAAGTTTTCCCAGAAGGAGGAAGATCACAGAGGAGTCTTAAAATTCATCTGTGTGATGACCAATCACGTTAAGTAAAGCAGACACATTTTTTATAGAAAATTTTGTCATTATTTCCAGAGTAGAAACAAGACACCACTTGCTGGCTACTGAAGAAGGGGATGAGGCATGTCCCAAGTACATGATGTCAATTCATTGATTGATTGATTAATTAATTTTTTTCCACAGCGGATCCGAACCCAGCAGTGTGGGAGGATGTCACAGAAAGCAAACCAATGACTTTGGTGGATGACTGTGTATCCTTCACAACAACAGTCTCTGCCAGGTAAGACTTCGACATTGTGTGTGGGAAACTGGTGTAGGATCATGAAAGTGCATAAGGTAAATTAACTGGTGAAAAATCGAGTTCTCCCAGCTGGCTGTGATTGAAGCACACTTGTTCAAAGAATTTGCTTAACAATGCTTTGAGCAAGCATTTAATTCTTTTAATTTAATTATCTGTCTCTTTGCATCTCTCTCTCTCTCTCTCTCTCTCTCTCTCTCTCTCTCTCTCTCTCTCTCTCTCTCTCTCTCTCTCTCTCTCTCTCTCTCTCTCTCTCTCTCTCTCTCTCTCTCTCTCTCTCTATTTCTCTATTTTTGTCTCTCTTTCTGCTTCTCATCTCTCTCTTTATCTCTCCATCTCTATGTCTCTCTCCATTTATGTCTGTCTCTCCATTCTTTGTCTCTCTGGGTGTCTCTCTGTCTCTCACCTCTATCTGTCTTTTTATCTCTCTGTCTGTCATCTATCTATTTCTCTCTGTCTGTCTCCATTTCTCTGTCTCTTTCCATCTCTCTCTCTCTCTCTCTCTCTCTCTCTCTCTCTCTCTCTCTCTCTCTCTCTCTCTCTCTCTCTCTCTCTCTCTCTCTCTCTCCATTCTTTGTCTCTGTCTCTCATCTCTCTTTATCCCTCTGTTTACCTCTCCATCTCTCTGTTTCTCTCCATCTCTCTCTCTCCCCTCATCTCTCTTTCTCTCATCCCCCCCCACCCCGCCCCCTCCTCCTATACTAGAGTAGTTATTTCAGTCAGCTAACCATATATGTCTATGTACATGCGATCAATAATCCTTTCATTGATGCCACCATCAGGTTCTGGCTCATTGACTGTCAGAATGTTTCTGAAGCTTCCCAGATGGCCTCTATCCTCTACCAGGAGGCAGTCACCGTCCCCTACATGGCCAAGTTTGTAGTTTTCGCCAAGCGTGACTCCCCAGAAGAGGGCAAGCTAAGAATCTTCTGCATGACTGATGACAAAGATGATAAAACTCTAGAGAAGCAGGAGAAATTTTTCGAGGTGGCTCGAAGCAGAGACATTGAGGTGAGTTCTTTAGGTTCTTCACTGTGATAGTTATTGTCACCTATAGCTGGGACGGACCTGTTCATGTTTCTAGGCTCAGGATTAAAGTAACTTCCCTTGTCATTCATGCCTCCTTAGGTCGTTGGACCTCTCCTGTGTTACGAGTGTGTTATGATATGGCTTGGTTTGGCATTCACTTGGTTTATGGGAGGTTGTGCTGTTGTGAGTCTATTTGCAGGGGGGAAGCACCGCAGCCACAATGATTCTTGGCTATCGAATCTAGGATGTTTTTTTGTATTTCTATGCTCATTGGCGGTGCAACACCTCCTCCCCCCCCCCCCCCCCCCACCCACCCCTCCACGAGAGAGAGAGAAAGCAGTTACAAAGAGTGTAGGAATGGACAAAATATCGCTGTTTCCATACTCCCGAACCGTTGTGCAGGTAGCAAAGGTTGAAAATAATCGCACAAGTGAGCAGTAAGAAGATGATAAAAGAGGCAATGGTTGCACAGTTCACAATAAGGAAAACATGACTTCCTTGCAACATAGGAGAGGTCCAGCGACCTAAGGAGGCATGAATGACAAGGAAAGTTACTCGTGATTGATGTCTTTAATGTGATATTTACGTCAGTTGTGGTAGAGATGTAGTGATGACAAATATATGTCCCCTGTAGCAGCGATCTGTAGTGATGACTTCTCTAATGCGATATTTGTTATGTAACCTGTAGCAGGAATGTGGAGTGATGAGTTCTCTAATGGGATATTTTTTATGTCGCTTGTAACATAGACATAACGGTGATTTCTTTAATGTGATATTTGTATGGCATTCATAGCATACACACAGAGATGATTTCTTTAAGGTGATATTTGTATATCAGCAGACACAAAGAGGTCATTTCGTTAAGATATTTTTATGTCAGTCAAAGCAGACATGAAGAAGTCATTTCTTTAATGTCATAATTGTATATCATTCATAGCACCTACATAATGGTGATTTTTTAAAATGTAATATTTGTATGTAATATTTGTGTGTCCATCGTAGCAGACACGTACAGGTGATTTCTTTTATGTGATATTTATATTCCCCCATAGCAGGAACTTTAATGTGGTATTTGTATGTTGATTATAGCCGAGAAGTAGAGGTGATTTCTTCAATGTGCCTACCATGGCCTCGCCAGCAATTCAGTCCGCTTGTTCATACCCTGTTGGTAATTCTGTCAAAGCAGAGGTCCTTGCACACAAAATCCTGCCTTTAAACAAAAAATGTGATTCCAAAGAGGAGAACGAAAAGAAAAATCCTTGCACACAACAGCTGCATGTCAACTTCAGGGCATTCAGAGAGAACCGCTTGCCCTGTACAGTGAAAGTTCGGGACCAGGTAGGAGGGGGGCGTCTGTGTGGGATTTGTTCCTATGCTACACTAAAGGACTATTCAACTAAGTTTACATGAATGTTGAATTGAGAATCGACAGCTCAGCACTCGGGACACCCCATAAGTGCTCGGTCCCTATCTTTAGCAGCAAGCCAAGAGTTAAAATTCTGATGGTACCAGTAACTGTCTGATTGTATATCCGTCTCGCCTTTGCCCTGAGCGTCGAGTGTTGGCCAGAATCCCCTTGTAACTCCTGGCAGTGCCATTCTCCTCAGACCGTAATTATCTATCGGTTGCTCGGCACTGTTCACTCTCTCCCAAAGGGCCCTCACAACATCCAGCTTGTCATGCATCAGTTCCCCACCAAGTGGTGCAGAACTGGCCAGTCTGTCTGCCTGCTCATTTCCCAACACACAGGCATGACCTGGAGAAAATTCAACTAAGTTTGCCCAGGAGCCAGAATGTTGACAAATGTTGATCATCATGCACCAGAGGTTCCATACCAAGCAGAGAAAGACCATTAAAAACATACAATTGGCACATGGTACAATTGGCACATGATCCGTGGGCCACTTGCTAGGCCTCTGTGGGCCAGATTTGGCCTTTGGGCCACCAGTTGAATAGCCCTTGTCTAGTTGATGTGATATCGTGTGTTGTTGAGGGATGATTAGTCCGGATAGCATGTTCTTTAGCTGAATGAAGCAGCCCTGAATGTCCAGCTCTGCAGAAGCATGCAGGACCAGTAGTCCGTGGGCCACTTGCTAGGTCTCTGTGGGCCAGATTTGGCCTGTGGGCCACCAGTTGAATAGCCCTGATCTAGTTGATGTGATATTGTGTGTTGTTGAGGGATGATTAGTCTGGATAGCATGCTCTTTAGCTGAATGAAGCGCCCTAAATGTCCAGCTCTGCAGAAACATGTAGGACCAGCAGAAGACAGTTCACTTGATAAAATCACTGGGTATGAGGAAGACATTTGCAGATTTAGACTGATTTGGGGTGAACAGTACACACACATTGCTTATTCTTATTCATTGGGTTGCATTGTATGTGGTAGTAGTAGTAGCAGTACCAGTAGTAACAGCAGTAGTATTAGCAGCAGTAGTAGTAGCAGAAACAGCAGCAGTTAGTAGTAGTAGTAGAAGCAGCAGCAGTTAGTAATAGCAGCAGCAGAAAAAGTTAATATTAGTAGTAGTTGTTGTAGTAGCAACAGTTAGTAGTAGCAGAAGCAGCAGCAATTAGTAGTTGTAGCAGAAGCAGCAGTAGTTAATAATAGTAGCAGTAGCAAATATTAGTAGTAGTAGCAGCAGCAGTTAGTAGTGGTAGTAGAAGTAGTAGTAGTAGTTAATAATAGTAGTAGCAGCAGCATCAGTTAATAGTAGTAGCAGTAGGAGCAGCAGTTAGTAGTGGAAGTAGAAGTATTAGTAGTTAATAGTAGCAGCAGCAGCAGCAGTTAATATTAGTAGTAACAGTAGGAGCAGCAGTCAGTAGTAGTAGAAGCAGCAGTTAGTAGTAGCAGCAATAGCAGCAGTAGCAGCAGCAGCAGTTAGCAGTAGCAACAGTTAATATAAGTTATAGTAGTTGTAGTAGCAGCAGTTAGTAGTAGTACAAGCAGCAGCAGTTAGTAGTAGCAGCAGCAGTTAATATTAGTATTAGTAGTGGCAGCAGCAGTTAGTAGTAGTAGTAGTTAATAGTAGTAGTAACAGCAGCAGCAGTTAATATAAGTAGTAGGAGCAGCAGTAAGTAGTAGCAGCAGCAGCAAATATTAGTAGTAGAAGTAGTAGTAGTATTAGGAAAAAATATATTGTTTTACCTATCTGAGTTATAATTATGATATATAGTTTGTTTTTTCTGTATGGATGTTGGATATTTAGGCTTGTCAATTACTTTTGAATGTTTACTAGTGAAAAAATTGTTTATTAATTGAAACAGATTGTGCAAGTATCGCTTGTTATCTTTCTTTATGATTGTAATCAACTATTTTTGGCGGAATCTATCGTCGCCTGGAGATCCCCTATATCCTTCCAAATTAACTTACAGGGCTCGAATTAAATAAGTCTAGGGGAATTATAACGGTTTCTGAGTTCTGGAAAATAGAGGAAGGAGAATACAGAAAGTTAAAGGATAGGGTGAATCCCCGAAAATGTCCTAAAGAAATTCAGAAAACCACCAAAGTCAAAACTTTGTAAATTTAACTCAAATAAATTGCAATGAACAATCTTTAGTCTACCTAAGAAGTAAATTTGATACGATGAAATCGATAAATGGAATTTCTAAACCACAACTGTATTGATAAAATACTGATATTGAATTCAACAATTTTCAAATTAACACAGAGAAAATAAATAAATGTATCATCACGGCACCACATTAATTTATACAAATATTCAGTAACACTCAGCTTTACGATATACGGGATGTGTCCAACTGCAGCTTCTCTGGGAGGAATGTACAAGATTCTGGCTGCGACTGTTATAGTCCTCGCCTAACTGCGACATTCATCTGTGAGATCTCGGTTGTTCATTCTATACCGTCTGGTTCCCAATTCACAAGGTAACAGGAATGGCAGCTCACGATCCACAGGTAACAGGGATGGTGGTTCCCAATTCACAAGGTAACAGGGATGGTAGCTCACGATCCACAGGTAACAGGCATACAGGAAAACGGGAATACGGGAACCTGAGGAATACATCATTCAGCCCTGTGTTGAGCATTATGTCGACACATCTGGGGCAGGTAGAGGTGTTGCGGTGTCTGTGGTGTTTTTCAGAGTTAAAAGAAAGAACAAGGTTCATATGTTGTCTTTCTCTACAAGTAAATCAAAATTATACATCTCCACCCTGTTATAATATGTTGCTTTATACCTATCTAATTTATGGCACGATCATATAAAACTTGACATCATTAAACGGACACACATTCGCCTGCGGATTGGACAGTTATTAATTCGAGTCCCAAAACCCAGGTCGACTTCGCCTTAACAGACGCCAGTTATAGTCATGGGGAGTAAAGGCGGCAGGTGTGATGTTGACCACATCAACACCTAGGTACCACTTGGTCTATAAAACATAGGCCAACCCGATATGCCCACAAAGCTGACGACTTTTACTCAAATTATATGTTGCATAATATAATAAACATAAGCAATGTAATGTATACCCGACTGATGATACCCCATGGCACAGGATAATGGTTTCCACTATAAGATCTTTAGGTCATTTCTGTCGCTTTTCAACTCATTTTGATTTCAACAAATTGCAATGGGTAACAAACCTATGTTCTTCTGGTGCTTGTCAAAAATGTCATTATGACATCACTGTGTTCATCAGCACCATGATGTCCCATGCTTAACACTCTTGACATTCTTAACAGCAATTTTCAACAGTTTACAAGACAGTGACTGGGTCATTGTAATTTCTGTCACACTGTAAAGAGTTTCATGTGAAGGCCCTTCATGTATTGCTAGTCAGTCATTGCTTGCTTGTCATGCAGGAACAAGAGGCTAGTGCCCGCATTGCCTTCATGAAGGAGCCAAAAGTACAGAGAGGGGAAGCCCCACAGACTCCTATCTGTAACCTCAACATTCGCCTTCCAGATATGGTGTTGGTTAGTAATATTCTCTTTTCTCATGTAATGCTTGTGAAACACTTGCTGTCTTTTATCTGTGTCTGACCTTTCTGTCTATGATCTGTGTCCTGCATTTCTGTTTGTGATCTGTATCCTACATTTCTGTCTGTGATCTGTATCCTACATTTCTGTCTGTGATCTGTATCCTACATTTCTGTTTGTGATCTGTATCCTACATTTCTGTCTGTGATCTGTATCCTACATTTCTGTCTGTGATCTGTATCCTACATTTCTGTTTGTGATCTGTATTCTACATTTCTGTTTGTGATCTGTATCCTACATTTCTGTCTGTGATCTGTATTCTACATTTCTGTTTGTGATCTGTATCCTACATTTCTGTTTGTGATCTGTATCCTACATTTCTGTCTGTGATCTGTATCCTACATTTCTGTCTGTGATCTGTATTCTACATTTCTGTCTGTGATCTGTATCCTACATTTCTGTCTGTGATCTGTATTCTACATTTCTGTCTGTGATCTGTATCCTACATTTCTGTCTGTGATCTGTATCCTACATTTCTGTTTGTGATCTGTATCCTACATTTCTGTTTGTGATCTGTGCCATATCTATCTGTGAACTTTGTCCACTGTTTATGTCTATGAACTGCTCCATACTTCTCTATCTATTTGCATATACATATATGCGTGCGTGCGGTGTACGTCTGCGCATGCATTTTACCATCCATGCTTTTGTGTTTTTTCTTGATATTCATAATATGCATATTGTTTCATGAACAAACCATGCTTTATTGATAAAATACAACTGCTGTGTGAAAGATGGGTGTTTTTAAGGGTCAAATGTAAGACGGGCCTGAGTGCCCCAAGTTGTGACCTTTTGAAAATAAAGTTTGTTTGTTCATTCTGCATTTCCCCCCACAACCCCCCCGAAAAGATCACTTGATGCATTGTTTAGTAGTTTACAGCTTGGCTGCGGGGGATTTCTGTCGATGAACTGAGTCATACATTTCTGTCTTTAAACTTTGTTATATATTTATGCCTCCAAATTGCACCTATTTAAACATGTTTTCTGTGATTTGTCTAAATGTTTATCTATGAATGTGTTTTCATTATGTCTACATTTAATCTATATTTGCAGTCTGAATCGGGTGAGCTGAACTCGGACAAGGCTGCTGAATTTCGTAAACGTCATGATTTTCTCCGTGGCCAGGGTCTTGGTGAGTACAACAGGCCAGATTCTTCTCAAGGCTAGTGATATGTTGACATGTATTAGAGCAGTTTAAAAACCTTGTGGTTAAGTTTGAGCTGTCTAAATAGTTTATAATCACTGCCTGTATTTGTCCCTGTATCTCTTACATGTTATACTTTCTCTGTCTTGGATATGTTTTCTCTCTCTTTCTTCCTCTTTCCCCTCATTGTATGTCTCTCTCCCTCCCTCTCTCTCCCTCCCTCTCTCTTCCTCTCTCTCTCTCTTTCTCTCTCTGTCACCTCTCTCTCTCTCTCTCTCTCTCTCTCTCTCTCTCTCTCTCTCTCTCTCTCTCTCTCTCTCTCTCTCTCTCTCTCTCTCTCTCTCACTGTCATTTTCCTCCCTCCTTAACCATGCTCTTGTCCATACTCTCTTCTGTCAGATTTAATCTCTTACCTATCTTGGATTTGTTTCCTTTTTCTCTCTTCCCCTTTCCCCTCTCGGTCTGTATGTCTCTCTCCATCCTTCTGTCTTTAGCACTTGTGGGCACACATGCACACACTTGTATGCACACACGTGCATGCATACAAACATGCACGCTGCACACACACACACACATGCACACACATCCACTGCCGCAGGGCATTTACTTACAAAAGAAGTATAAACAGAATTACTTTTAGTGTGTTCTCTTCTGTAACTAATGATAGCATACATTCCATATTCATGCAGTTATTCAAGACTCAGTGCACAAAGCGGAGATGAAACTTTCGGACGTAGCAGATGCAATCCAGGGAGACTGGGTGGTACTTGCACAGCAGCTTCACATCTCCATCTCTGACATCAACCACATCAAGAATGACTACAACACCCCCGGGGACCAGGCACTGGCCATGCTGCACTTGTGGGTCCAGAAAAATCCTGACAGAGTCACAGGTGTGCTGGAATAGAGATGATTGAGGGATGATTGATAAGATTTTATGAGGGATTATTGATGAGATTGTATGAGGGATGATTGATAGGATTTTATAAGGGATGATTGGTGAGATCGGATGAGGAATAATTGATGAGATTGTATGAAGGGTGATTGATGAGATTTTAAAAGGAATGATTGGTGAGATTGGATGAGAGATGATTGATGAGATTGTAGGAAGGGTGATTAAGATTTTATATTGGATGATTATTGAGATTGCATGAGTAATGATTGATAAGATTGTAGAGGGTTGATTGATGAGATTGTATGATGGATGATTGATAAGATTTTATAAGGGATAATTGATGAGATTGTATCAGGGATGATTGATGAGATTTGATGAGGAGCAATTTATGAGCTTGTATGAAGGATAATTGATGAGTTTGTATAAGGGATGATTGATGAGATGGTATGAGGGATGATTGATGAGATTTTTTATAATAGATGATTGATGAGATTTTATGAGGGATGATTGATGAGATTTTATAAGGGATGATTGATGAGATTGTATAAGTGATAATTGTTAAGTTGTATAAGGGATAATTGATGAGATTGTATGGGATATGATTGATGAGATTGTATGAAGGGTGATTGATATTTTATAAGGGATGATCGCTGAGATTGTGTGAGGGATGATTGATGAGAATTAAAACCACTTCATTTTATGTTTGTCACATGGTGCTCTTAGCCAGTTAGGTTGGTTTGTATCAGTTCTTTGAGGGCCTCTTCCTCCAGAATAGATTCACTGCCTTCCTAAAGGCCTAAAAGGTGACTAGTTAGGGATGTTGGCTTCAAATTCAAAGTACATATGCCTAAGTGACGAGAAACCAACAGTCTGCACACAAAATAAGCTAGATCTGCAAAACAAATTGTGCATACAAAACAAGACCAAAATCCAGAAGTGGAAGAACAATCAGAACTTTGTATTGGAGTTTACAACCGGTAAAAAGAAGAAGAAAGAAATTTGTTTTTTGCTGCTACTGACTACTGAAGGATATCGAAAAATAGACATGGACCTAGGGTGGCCATAAGTCCAATTTTCGCCGTGACGGTATCGTTGTTAAGGCAGGCCCAGACTGTTCCATCGATACTGAGCATCGATTGGAACAATGGAATTTGATAGTTGTTGAATACTGGCGGGTCGGTCTGGGTCTACCCAAAAAAAAAAACAAAAAAAAAAGAGTGATACTGTTCTGATGAGATGGTGACCCTGTGTGGACCAAATGCTTGATTTTAATCACCATCCCACAGATAACCAGCTGGAGAGTGCCCTACGCAGAATCAACCGTGATGATGTTGTCAGGAAGTGCATCCACAGTGTGGTTAAAGTTGAGGATGAGGAGGAAGCTGCAGCAGCCAGAGCAGAGATAGAACAGTCAGGTGAGAATGTTGTACATCTTTATTTATACTGGTCCGAATCTGTTGCTGTCTCTGCGCTCCCAACCCCTTTTTGTGTGTGGTGTGCTCTGTGGGTTCCAGTGACAAGTCATTCTAGCTGTACTATATTAGTTTTTGTTGAATGTCCTGTCCAGGGCCAGCATCTTTTTAACTCACTGGAATCTGTTTCTCCTCCAGAGCTTCACATTATTATTCTTTCATCCATTATTCCTGCACTGTAGAGGCACTAGTTAAGGAATTTATTTTTAGTTTATTAACATAGACTTGCTTAAGAAGAATACTTGGTTAACGTAAAATTTTTTTTTAGCCCTAGCAGGATGTATTATTATTCTTCCCTTTTATGCACACATTTTTTTTTTTAACTCGAACACTTCATTTTCCATTTCCTGAGAGTTCATATTAGCAGCATTGTTTTAGCTCAGTATTCTGCTTAATCCTGTGCTTAATTTCTTTCGGCTGGGATTTTTTCACATGGACTTAGACTTCTAGTAATTCCCCCTCTGTATGTATTGTTGCGCACATAAAAAAAGCGCTTGGCAGTTGGAAAACGAGTAGCTTAACAGCGCTGTCCAGTTGTTCAAACCTCAAACCTCTTCAAATTTGGGGTACATCTGCCCAAATATGGGTAGCCATGGTCTGCATACAAAAACCAGATCTGTAAAAGGAATGTGCTTGCAAAACTCAGGTGGAACAAAACCAAAGTCTAGAAGTGGATGAACAACCATAACTTTCTGCCTGAGTTTACAACTGGTGAACTTTAAGAAGAAGAAGAGGAAGAAGAGTGATTAGTGATTAGAAAGGATTATCATCACAGAACTACAGACACATCCATAGGTGCTCCGATCTCCTCCTCAAGTGTGAAAATGTCGGTCCAGGATTTCAGCTTACGCGACGGAGTACGTGCATTTGAGCTGACATCTTTTTCAGGAAGAAGAGTGTGTGAATCCAACCTTTTGAAGTGGTAATCACTGGAGCAGACATCTATAGAAGTTGTGCAAATATGTAATTTAAGACCGAAAAATTGCAGAATGTAAAATATTAGAACGTTACCATATCCAGCAACAAAAAGTACATACACAAAAACTAAATTCTTTTAATTGTATTTATATATGTTTAGTTTTATTGCCTGATTTATAAATTTATATCCCCCTTGTGGGTTCCGGGGCCCCATTGTGGGGAAAACAAGAATAGACCCTCTGCCTCCCCAAAGGCATGTCATAAGAGTCGACTAATTGGGGAGCTTCCTTTGAAGTCGGAGTGCATCTGCCAGAGAGGTAAGGAACCAACAATCTGTATTCAAGAGAATGAGATCTGTAAAACTGATGCACACGCAACACTCAGGTTCTGGAGCAGGACTGCTGTTCAGTAGTGGACGAGCAACTAGAACTTTCCACCAGAGTGTACAGCTGGTGAACGCGAAGAAGAAGAAGAAATTTATGTGACCTTATTAGTATAACTTCTTTTCCTCTTCCCCCTCCAGTATTCTTTCTAGAAGGACAGTTGGCATATTATGTTGTGGTTTACAGCTAGGCTGTGATGTCTGCACCTTCCAGCCTAAAACATCCAATTTCAACAAACCCCCTAATTAGTTACCTTTTATGACATGCTTGTTAGCGGGCAGTGGATCTCTTCTGATTTCCCAAAAATAGACCTGGGGACCCACATTGGGTCAGTACCAGGCTGAAATGAAAGGAAAGTCTCTCACCGGTTTGACTGTAAACCTGATTCATTAGTGGAGTGAATTGGAACTCAGTCCTTCAGAGGTCTTGCAGTTGACTAACCATCTAGGCTGTTCCCGGGGTTCACCCAGCCTCTAGGAAATGGGTACCAGAGTTGACACTATGGGATAAACAGAGGAACGTCACTTTAGCTACGGAGTTACGTGGGGACGGCGACACAGGTGGACAATTCTTATCAGCTGTCCGTACTGGTGGCAAAGCACTAATAGTTTATAACCGTGTGCAATGACGCTGGCTCACATCTCCTGACTTTACCTTTACCTTTAATCTTATCTTGTGATTATTGGCTATTGTCACAACCCTGTGAGTACAGTCAGTGGCGGAATGTACCACACCGTAAGGTGTGGTGCCGTGTTTGAGGGGTGGTGACATCCAGGGTTGACACAAAGATCAGGGCCCGACCGTGACTGGCAAGGGTCCCGTTCTGTGATTGCACAGCGAAACCAGCGCTCAGGATAAAGCAAGAAAAAGAGTGAACCGTGTTGTGGACAAAAATCCGCAACACGATTACGGCTTTTGGGACTGAGCTGGCACGTGAACGGGGTCAAGAGACACGGGGATAGAGAGAACGGGGGGGACATTCGGTGTGCGTCGGTCAGGAAGAGAGAGACGTTTAGCAAGACAGTTATAGTATGAGAGTTAGGATATTTCTGTTAGTGACTGGATAGTTTATGTACAGTGTTCTGTTAGGATAGGATAGTTCTTGTGTAGAGTATTTATGTACATGTGCTGTGAGAGAGTGGCTAACCTTGGCACTCTGACCCTGTGCTAGACAGAGAGGCTGTGACAGTTTTGATTGGGTCAGCGTGGCGATAGAAAAAAAGAACGTATCTCGCCGGGCTGTGGTTTGTACACCAGGAGATTACCTGTAGCACGTACTGGGGGACGAGGCGGTTGTAAAGCCCGTTCGGCCAGAGGGTC